GCCTGGCTTTCATCCTTTTCTGAAGTCCTAAAGGAGAGCTGGAGAACCATCAAGCTAACATCACTTTAAAAGAGGAGAGGTGGGAGCCTTGTTTCTGGCTACATGGAATAATGCTATGCCTTTTGTTTTGTTTCTTAGAATGGATCTATATTGGGAAGCAACTTGTGGGAGTGCCTGAAAAATACAGAATAATGTAGATGAACTGTGATAGTTAACAGGTTTCTAAAAGGTGCCAAAATGTGATGGCAGTTTATCTACTGCTCTATCCTCTCTCAGAGCATTGTAAAGAGCTACATGTTTAGTTATTGCGATGAACATAAAGAGACAGAACAATCAGACGACATGGCTATTGACAAAGGAAAAGAACAAGTAGGTGTGACTTGGCAGGCTACATTCTGGATGCTTCAGAAAACACAGTGGATGGTCAGAGCACAGGTTGTGATACGTGTAAAGCAGTCCATTTCAATGTGACTGTCACTCCCATGACCTAAGCTTGGAGGACTCAACACGTCTCATTCAAATGAGAGAGCATCCAGCTGTGCTAGAAGTAACTGGACAGGTAGATTTTTCTTCCCTCCCTCCTTTTTTTCTTTGGGGGGGGGATCTTTTTGAGGCAGGGTCTCCCTGTAGCCCCAGCTGGCCTCGAACTATGTAGACCAGGCTGGCCTTAAAGTCACAGAGATACGTCTGCCTTTGTTTCCCAAGTGCTGGGATTAAAGGAGTATGCCATCATGCCTGCCTTTTTTTTTTTTTTAAAGAGGTTTATTTACTTGTAGTGTAGTATGTGTGCATGCATGTGTGCCTGAGCTTGTGTGGAGGTCAGAAGAGTGTATCAGATCCCTTAGAGCTGGTTTGGGAGACGCCTGGCTTGTCATGTGAGTGCTGGTATCTGGACTGCAGTCCTCCTGATTGCACAGTAACTGCTATTACTCTAGCCATATGCACAAAATAAATTAAAAGAAAAAAAATAAAAGATGAGGTCTTATTCCTCCAAGATAGCCTCATCTACTAGGCTCACTAGTGCCACCATACTCAGTTCAGGCTTTTGTTTCTTTTTTGAGACGGGGTCTCCCTGTAGCTCTAGCTGGCCTGGAACGTGCTGTGTACATCAGGCTGGCCTCAAGTTCAGTGCTCTACCTGTCTCTACTTCTCAAGTGCTGGAATTAAAGGCATATGACACAATGCCCAGTTTATTTTTTTGAGACAGGTTTCTCCTGTAGCCCAGGTTGGCCTTGAACTCACTATGCAGTTGAGGCTAATTAACCCTGAACTCCTTGATCCTCTTGCCTCCACTTCCCAAGTGTGACGTATATCAGCACACCTGGCCGTATTTGCTTTTTGATTTTGGTCTTTGTTTTGGAGACAGGGTCTCCCTGTAGCCTCAGCTGGTCCAGAACTTGCTATGTAGACTAGGCTGAGAGGTCTGCCTGAGCACTGGGATTAAGGTATATGGCACCACACCTGGTTCCAGATTTGTTTTGGTAAGCGAAGATACATCCATAGAACTAACATCAGTGTGCTGAAGACATCCTATTCGATGAGCAAGGACCAAAGTGGAAGCTGCCTGAAACCATGGCAGAGCACTAAGAAAATGAGTCTTACAACTAGAGCATACACTAAGAACATGCTCCAACCAACTAAGCAATGGGAACCAACTTGCATGTTAACATATGCTACATAACAGACCTCTTTTATTTGGCGGTGGGGTGTGTGTGCATCTTTTTGAGAGAGGGTCTCCTTATAGCCCCAGCTGGCCTCGAACTCAAGAGATCCACTTGCCTCTGCCTCCCAAGTGCTGGGATTAAAGGCATGAGCCACCACACCTGGTAACAGGTCTCTATTTTACATTTTATTTATTTTTATTTTATGTGTATGAGTATTTTGCCTGAATGTATGTAGTACACCAATGCCACGCAATGCCTGCAGTGGCCAGAAGAGGGCACCAGATCTTCTGGAACATCTGCTGTGTGGGTCCCGGGAACTGTACCCAGGTCTTCTGCAAGAGTAGCCATTGTTCCCAACTGCTGAACCATCTCTCCAGCCCCGTAAGAGATCTAATGTGAACGGAGCCTGAGGTATCCAAGGGAAGGACAGCTTTTAGAACAGCCAGAGATTCTCATGGGAAAAACGCATAGGATGCAGGATGGATATATGGACCCAGCAGTCTATGGGAACGTCCACTGAAGTACCCAACCTGTCAAAGTGATCTTTAATAGCTTTATACTACAATTCTGTGCCATTCTTTTCTTATAATGTAGTTTGGGGGGTACTGGGGCCCTTTTTACTGGGAACCAACACCTCTCAAATCAGGTAACCTTGAAAAGAAGTTATTTGAATCATGAAATAACAAAGAGATATCAACTTAATCTATACACCTTAGAGAAATGTTAAGCATCACTTAAATTACTAAATGTTATTTATGGTAGATAATGTGTTGGGAGGGGTCAGATAATTACATCACAATTTTGTTTGACCTAGAATCCTAATGGTATTGCTATCTTGTATAATGTAGGAGTCACAGGGAAAATTAATATAAACTTATAAAATTTGGAATACTGATGCTGATGATCTAACACATAGAGAGACTGAACTGAAGCCCTCTCAGGATGTTATCCCTATGGAGAATTAGCTTGATTAATTTTTGAACTTGACTGATGGATTAACTACGGTGCTTTTTTTCTTTTTTGGTCTTTTTGAGACAGGGTTTCCCTGTAGCCCCAGCTGGCCTAGAACTCACTATGTAGACCAGGCTGGCCTTGAACTCACAGAGATCCACCTACCTCTGCTGTTAACTATGGTTCTTAATAACTAAGCAGGTATATCCATTAAGAACAAATAATCTGAGCCAGGTATGGTAGTGCACACCTTTAATCCCAACACTTGGGAGGCAAAGGCAGGTGGAAGGTAGCTATGCTCACCACTATACTACCAGTGCACATGGCAGAGGCAGGTAGATCTCTGCGAGTTCAAGGCCGGCCTGGTCCACATAGTGAGTTCCAGGCCAGCTGGGGTTACAGGGAGACCCTGTCTTAAAAAGAGCCCCCCTCCCAAATTTTATTATTATTATTTTATGTGTATGAGTGTATTGCCCATGTTTGTGTAAGTGTACCTGGGTTGTGCAATGCCCACAGAGGTCAGAAGAGGGTGTTGGATCCCCTGGAACTTGAGTTATGGATGGTTATTAGCTTCATGAGGGTGACAGGAACCAAACCCAGGTCTTCTGCAAGAGCAGCCAGTGCTCTCAACCACTGAGCAACCTCTCCAGTCCCAAATAATCTTTTCTAAAAATGAATTTTGATTTATTTATTTTTATTGAGTATTTTGTCTGCATATTTGTAAGTGTATCTGTACCATGCAATGCCTGTGGAGGCCAGAAGAGGAAATCATATCCCCTGGAATTTAGGATGGTTGTTGCCCATCATGTGGGTGCTGGGAACCCAACCTGCATCCTCTGTAAGAGCAGTCAATGCTCTTTACCACTAAGCTATCTCTCTAGCCCCAAGAACAAATAATTGTAAATAAGGGAAGCAAAAGGATTAATAGCAGGTCCAATGGGGCATAGGCTGTTTTATGAGAGCCAGTTCTAGCAAGTCTGGAATTGGCTAGAGCTGATTTGCTAAAGTTCTTACATGGCACTGACCTTGGTGAAGATAAGACATGGAACACACTGATTTTAAAAACCACAATGAAGCCGAGCGTGGTGGCGCTGCCTTTAATCCCAGCACTTGGGAGGCAGAGGCAGGTGGATCTCTGTGAGTTCAAGGCCAGCCTGGTCTACAGCTGGGGCTACAAGGAGACCCTGTCTCAAAAAGAAAAAAAAAAAAAAACCAACCAACCAAACCAAAAGACCCCACAATGAGATGCCACTTCATACTCATTAGGATGAAAATACAAAATAGAACTATTTGTAAGGACATGGAGAAACTCAAATGGGAATGTAAAACGGATAAGTTGCCATGGAAAACAGTACGACAGTTTCTTGAAAAATTAGGCCACGTGATCCAGTAATTCCACTTCTGGGTATATACTAAAAGGAAATTTAAAGGACCTTGAAGAGGTATCTGTATTATCAGGTTCATAGCATCATTATTCACAGAGGTCCATCAGTGGGTGGGTGGATAAATATGGTATATACATACAATGGAGTACTGTTCAGCCTCATAAAGGACCGAATTCTGAGCCTTAATGATGTTAATCTAAATAAGCCAGATATAAAAGGACATAAAAATACTCTACTTACTGGGGCTAACGGAGGAGAGATTGGGAGTTACTGTTCAGTGGGTACAGTGTTCAGGGTGGGATAAGAAGCTCTGGGTAGGTGGTTATGACTGCACAACAGCAAGATGTAGCTGACACCACTGAACTAGACATTTAGTGACTAATAAGTGCGGGCATGGTGGCTCACACCTGTAATCCCAACACTTGGGAGGCTGAGCCAGGATACTGAGAGTTTGAGATCAGCCTGAGCTATATAGGGAGACTGTCTCAAAACAACCAAAAAGGTAAAATAATATGGCTCATTTATGTTATACATAATAAGCTTTTTTTTTAAAAAAAATAAGGCATTTGTATCAGTTTGTTAGTACTTGTAACATAGATATGATGCTACTTATTTATTAATGCCTTGAGACAGGGTATGTATGTATGTATATATGTATATTGATTTGTCTTTGAGACAGGGTCTTGCTGTAGCCCCAGCTGGCCTAGAACTATGTAGATCAGGCTGACCTCGAACTCACAGAGATCCTCCTGCTTCTGCCTCTGCCTCCCAAGTGCTGGAATTAAAGGCGTGTGCCACCATGCCTGGCTGCATATAATGTTTATTTAACAAGACCTCTGGAGAGCTTTACATCATATGCCTATGTAATGAAAGCTGAAAGTCCCGAGTTGATGGTATCTCTGTGATTACTACAATAGGCATATGGCTTTAAGGGGCCTACTCAACAGTTAAGAACTTGTGATTTTTTGAGTTGGCAAAAATTTTTCGATAGCAGCCATACCTCTGATGTCAGCTTCCCAGCAATCTGCATTCTCTTAATTTCTGCAGGAGATTTGACCAGTCGGAGACGCTGTATCAGCTGTTGGACAGCCCGAACCTTGTTCTTGCTCCTGGCTTTGGCCTCAGTCAGATGCTGCATGTAGTTGGAGTGAAGCTGGGCATGGGGAGGCTTCATCCAGTCATACCAAACCATGTTCGTCTCAGCTTAGTGGGAAGTCAAAAAATAAGTTTAAAACTAACAGAGGCTGGGGTACACTCAGGAGTAGAATGCATGCTTAGCACTTATAAGGGCCTGGGTTCAGTCTCTAGTTTTAACCAGCAATATAAAATAAAATAAAAAATAAATAAAATAAAGCTAACGCTGGGCTGGGTGTGATGGTGCATGCCTGAAATCCCACACTTGGGAGGCAGAAGCAGGAGGACCAGGCATTTAAAGTCATTCTCAGCTGCACAACGAGTTCAAAGTTGACCTAGGCTACATGAGACTCTAACTTGAAAAATCAAGAAAAAAGAATCCCAGCGCCAAAACTGGACTGTAGCTCAGTGGTGGAGTACTTGCCTAGCATGTGGCCCCGACTCCTTTCCCTAGCACTGCAAGCTGCACAAGACATCCCAAACCAAAATGAAACACAAACATAAACGGCCTAGCAACATAACAAGGAATATCAACTGTCATTGTGACTCGAACCAGAAGAAACTGTAAAATCTGCTATGTGGAATCCTGAAGCACTGAGTAGTACTTTCTCAAGGCTGAAGCAGCTGATGAGCATGACAGAAATCACTGGAAAGGTCATTCTCTGAAAATGGCAGGATATTCTGGGATATACAGCTTTCTACAAAATGTCAGTGTTCTTTATAAAGATGATAGCTGGCACTAAGGCTTTAAGTTTTGATTTTGTTATTTATTAATTATTAAAGTAACAATTGAACAACTGTTCTTCATCACCAGTGCTGATCTGAAGGCACTGTTGAATTAGTGTAGGTAAAAAGGGCAAAGTGCTCAGCTAATGACTTAGTGATCACAGGATTCTACTGCCTCATAAAGCAGTCAGCGCCAACACAAGGTGGATCTCTCATTTTTGGAATGATTACTGTCTATTTTGTTGAATCAGTCATAATTCACCTTTTTTTTTTTTTGGTCTTTTTGAGATAGGGTCTCCCTGTGAGCCCCAGCTGTCCTGGATTCACCATGGAGACCAGGCTGGCCTCGAACTCACAGAGATTCCAGCCTCTGCTGGGATTAAAGGCATGCACCACCACACCTGGCCCATAATTCACCTTTTTAACTTTAAAGGTTTAAGAAAATGGTCTATTTCTCCCTGAGATTATGATATAAAGGCTTGTTATGAAAATGATGCACACCATTTAACACATGGACATATATGATTGTTTTTTCTAGCAGTGGGTTATGAATGACATTCGTAATTAAATCTGCAGGGTTGTACATCTTTTTTCAAAAAATATTTTATTTGTTGTAGACCAGGATGGCCTTGAATTCAGAGATCCACCTGCCTCTGCCTCCCAGTCTTGGGATTACAGGCGTGCACCACCACGCCTGGCTTTATTTATTATTTTTATTTAATGTGTATGAGTGTTTTGCCTGCATGTATGTAAGTGCACCTGTGTCATGTAAAGTCTGTGGAGGACAGAAGAGGGTGCTGGATCCCCTGGAACTGGAGTTACAAACAGTATTGGCCACTGTGTGGGTACTGGTCATCAAAACTGAATCCTCTGGAAGTACAGCAAGTGTTCTTAACCGCTGAGCCATCTTGGCTCATATAAACTCAGTCCCGGGCTGCACATCTTATATGATTAAAAGTATTTGGGACAGGGGAAGGGAAATAATTCAGGAATCTTTAACTGCGTATACATTATGATGTTACAGATTAAATATTTTAAAATAAAAATGATGTTAAATGTACACTGCATGGGAACACTTACCTTAATTACAATAGATATTTGTTGCAACTTTTTTTAAAGATAGGGTCTCACTATTAGCTTTGGCTGCCCTAGAACTCTCTATGCCTCCTCAGAGCTGGGATTAATGGAGTATGCTACCATGCCTGGCTGTTGCAATTTAAAAAAAATTAAACAATATTACTTGTTTACAGTGTATGAAATCAAAACTCAGCCTTGGGTCCTGGCACATGCTAGGCAAGTGATATACCATTAGGTTGGAGCCCCAGCACACTTTTTAAAACATGTAAATAAATTTATTGCAGATTACTAGTATTTTACAGTGTCTAGTACTTTTATGTAGTAAACTACTAACATTAAGTATAGTGTATAGGGGCTGTGAGATAGTTCAGTGGGTAAACGTGCTTGCTTACAAAGCATTATCCAAGATCCCCTATAAAGGTAGAAAGAGAAGCCACACCACAAAGTTGTCTTTGATCTCTATACACACGTTGTGGGGCATGTGTCTCCCCACATTAATAATAATAAATAAAATAAACTTTAATGAATAGTGGATTTAAAAAAGGCTAGTGAATAAGAAATCCTTTTGAGAATCACATCTGATGTATCTAACTCTTTAGGGTTAATGAAATTTTGACTGTCAAAGATGACAGGCAGCAGCTCATTAAGAATTCAAAACGCCAGAAAGAAAAGGCTTTTTTGGATTCATTTTATGTGTATGAGTGTTTTGTCCGCATGTTTGTAAGTGTACCACATGCATACCAGTAGAGGGCAGAAGAGGGTGTTGGATCCCCTGGAACTGGAGTTACAGATGGTTGTGAGCTGTCACGTGGGTGCTGGGAACCAAATCTGGGTCCTTTGCAAGAGCAGCCAGTACTCCTAACTGCTGAGCCAGGGCTCCTAACTGCTGAGCCATCTTTTGAGCCCCAAGAAAATGCTTTTGTCTCTGTATTCATGTGGATTCCCCTAGCCCTTGCCCCAGACATGTCTCATCATATAGCTTAGGTGATCATAAACTTTCAGAGATCTTCCTGTCTTGGACTCCCTGAGTGTTGGGATTACAGGTGACTGCCACCATACCCAGCAACAGCACCTTTTTTTTTTTTTTTTAAAAAAAGTAAAAGACATGCCTCTTTTCAGGATGCTCACAGAAATACTAGTACAATAATTATTTTAGAAAATTAGCAAGGAATGGGCAAGGAAGGTCCAAATCCCAGCTTGGCCTGCAAGTTCACTTCTGCTCTTGTTACCTTTCAGTTTGGGTACAAGGTGCTGAAATTCTTCGAGTGTGTAGGCTTCATCCACTCCAGTAAGAGCTACTGCTCCGTCTGTGCCAGATCGAGGGCCATCCCACAGTTCTCTAGCAGGGTCTCTCCGGGGCACAAAAAGCATGGCTTTATGAGAAGGTAACTGCTTCCCAGAGAGGCTCTGAAGCACCAGAATGCTGTCAGGCTCTTGGAATCCACACAAGTACAGGAAATTGTTGTCCTGATGGAAAGGGTAGGGGATATCATTGGTCATATAGTACGTAGGGTTGGAGAGCACAACCACCGTGTGATCTGTTCCAGTGTGTCCTTGTGTTTCCTTGTGGATCAGATCCATGAGCTTGTGTCTTCGAAGTGCATATTCCACCTGAGATAATCCTGGTGTCACTTCCCCTAGAAACAGTAAGAAAAACCAACTAAGTGATGCTTTGAATGGTTGTTCTGCCAGAGCACTTAAAGTCCCTTTGTATTAGATGGAGACATTCAAATTCATTTCCTTTACAAAATATTTTTATCATTTTTATTTTATGTGTATATGTGCACTGCCTGCATGTAGGTAAGCGCACTGTGTCGTACAAGGCCCTTGGAGGAGAGAAGAGGGCGTGGGATCCCCTAGAACTGGAGTTACAGTTGTTAGCACCATGTGGGTGCTGGGATTCGAACCCAAGTCTTCTGCAAGGACAGTCAGTGTTCTTAACCGCTGAGCCATCTCTCCAGCCCCCTAAGTTCATTTCTTTAGTTTATTGTAAATTTAATAGCATACAGGGAATTGTGGACCCAGGTTGGGTTCCTGACACCCACATCAGGTGGCTCACAACCACCTGTAACTCTAGTTCCAGGAGTTCTGATGCCCTCTTCTGTCCTCTGCAGGCACCTGTGTATATGTGGTGCCCTCTTCTGTCCTCTGCAGGCACCTGTGTATATGTGGTGCACACACAGACAAGCAGGCACACATACAAGTAAATAATATTAAAAAAAAAATTGTAGTTAAATGTGAACACACACGAAAAACTGGAATTGCGGCCCCATAAGATCTTGTTCATTCTTTTATCCACCTAATTAAATGTTTATTGAGTATTATGTGGAAGGCATGCTAGGCATATAATCAAAGTTTCCCTGGATCAGAATATTTTGAATATTCAATATAGTATCTCTATACAACTTCCCTAAAAAAATGCAAGCTTCACAAGGACAAGTAAATGGGGGGAAGGAGTGGCTGGAGAGATGGCTCAGCGGTTAAGAACACTGACTGTTCTTGCAGAAGACCTGGGGTTCAAATCCCAGCATCCACATGGCAGCTAACAACTGTCTGTAACTCTAGTTCCAGGGGATCTGACAGTCTCTTCTGTCCTCTGTGGGCATTGCATGACACGGGTGTACTCACCTACGTGTAGCAATACACGCATACACATAAAATAAAAATAATAAATAAAATATTAAAAAAAAAGTAAATGGGGGGCTGGAGAGATGGCTCAGCAGTGAAGACCACTGGCTGCTCTTGCAGAAGACTTGGGTTCGAATTCCAGCACCATCATGGCGCTAACAACTGTCCATAACTCCAATTCCAGGGGATCTGATGACCTCTTCTGACCTCCAAGGGTACTGCATGACACAGGTGCACTTACATGCAGGCAATACACTCAGAAAATGGAGTATAGTGGTCACTTGATTTGTTAAATGATATGTAGTTTTGGCCACAATAGTTAAATGATGAAAAGTTTTCCTTAATTTCAAGACCCACGACAAATTTCCTCCTCTGAATTCTTCTTTTTTTTTTTTTTTAAAGATTTACTTTTTTTATTTATTTTATTTAAAAAAAAAGTTTTTTTTTGGTCTTTTTGAAACAGGGTCTCCCTTCTGTTCTCCACGGGCACCGAATGACACGGGTGTACTTACCTATATGCAGGCAATACACGCATACACATAAAATAAAAAATAATAAATATTTAAAAAATGCGTACGTATTTCTTATGATCACTACTAGTTTACAAAAACAAGACACTGGGGCTGGAGAGATGGCTGTGCCAGAAAAATGAAAGTAGGAGAACCTGAGTTTTGATCCTCAGACTCTATGAAAAAAGATGGACATGTTGGTGCATGTCTATAATCCCAATGCTGGACAGGCAGATTGGAAGATCCTAGAGACTTGCTGGCCATCCAGTCTAGCTGAATCAGCAAGCTCTAGGTTCAGTGAAAGACTGTCTCAAAAAATAAGGTGGAGAGTAGAAGGAAGACACCTAAAGTTGACCTCTGGCCTCCAAACACACAATTTTTCCTGTATCTTGCTTTTCTAACAAAACCAACGAATATCCCTCTCTGCAAGTCTTCTGGTAAGGCTTCAGTTCATTTTTCTGGATGTCTCTGTAACATTTATTGGGGTGGATGCGCCAAATCTTACTGGGCAATCTCCATACTGGTAGGCATTTATACTGCTTTCAGCTTTTTTTCTGCTATCGTAAACATCTTTGTATTTATATCCTCATAATTTTATGTCCTATGTAGCTACTGCCTTACCCCTGCTCATAGGATAGTTCTCAGAAACTGCTGTATCAAAGAAAGATCTTTGATTTTTTTGTCTTTTTTGAGATAGAGACCCAGATGGCCTGGACCTCACTATGTGGACCAGGCTGGCCTCAAACTCAAGAGATTCGCCTGCCTCTGCTTTCCAAGTGCTAGGATTAAAAGCCACCACGTCCAGCTCTAAATTTTTTTTGTTGTTGGTTTTGAAGACAGGTCTCCCAGTAGCCCCAGCAGGCTTGGAACTTGCTTTGTAGACCAGGTTGGCCTGGATATCACAGCTATCCACCTGCCTCTGCCTTCTAAGGGCTGGGATTAAAGGCATGTACAACCATACCAGGTTTAGACCTTCAAATTAAAAATTTTTTTGAGCCAAGCGTGCACTTCCAGCACTTGGGAGGCAGAGGTAGGTGAATCTCTCTGTGAGTTTGAGGCCAGCCTGGTCTACATAGTGAGTTCCAGACTAGCTGGGGCTAAAAAAATTTTTTTTTCATTTATTTTTATTTTATGTGTATGACTGTTTTGCCTGCATGTATGTACACCATACATGTGTACACTACATGTGTGCAATGCCCACAGAGGTCAGAAGAGGCACTGGATTCCTCAGAACTGGATTTACGGTTACATACAGATACTCAGAAATGAACCCGGGGCCTCTGCAGGAACAGCTGGCGCTCTTAACCACTGAGCCATCTCTCCAGCTCTCAGACCTTTGAATTTTTTTAGTAATCATGTTTATCATACTAACTCATTTATGATTACTTTGGAATGGTCTACTTCTACTTGTATAAAACAAATTTTAACAACATGGAATACTTTGCACTCCATGAATAAAAAATTTTATTTAAATTAAGAAATATGTACAAAGAAACCCTTTTTCACTTTAATGATGAAATTGGCAATAAATAAAGAGATAGCCGGGCATGGTGGCGCACACCTTTAATCCCAGCGCTTGGGAGGCAGCCTGTTCTACATAGCTAGTTCCAGGCCAGTGGGGAGATCCTGTCTCAAAAAGACCAAAAAAAAAAAAAAAAAGAAAAAAATTACAGCTTTATAAGCAAGTCTGAATCAATCAAAGCAACAGTGGGCAGAAAAAGAGCCCATACTCACATTTTTTTTAAAAAAAGATTAAAAAAAATTTAAATTATGCGTATGGTGTGTGCCTGTATGTGGATATGTACATGTGAGTGCAGGAGGCCAAGGAATCTGAGGTGTCAGAGCTTCTTGAGTTGGGAGTTACTGGTGGTTGTGAGCTGCCTGATGTGAGTGCTGGAAACTGAACTGGGTCCTCTGCAAGAGTAGTATGTGCTCTTAACCACATACTACCCACCTCGCCAGCCCTCATACCCACATTTCTTTTTTTCTTTTGAGATTGACCTTGCTAAAAGTTTCCTACAATTCTTGGGCAGAATACTGAACTTTAAACCAGAGCTAAAGAATAGCTTAACTCTGTTAACTATTTAAGTCTGCCATTGTTACCTAACAGTGGAAATGTCCTAACTTACTCAAGCAGTAAGCTCCCCAACCACTTTCTTTCTTATAAAGGGCAAGCAAGCAAGCTTTAGTGGAGGAGTAACAACAGGAGAGGTTCTGAAAATGGCTTGCCTAGTAAATACTCTTTCATAAAAGCAGACAATGATTATAACTGGTAGATTATCTTTTGCTTTTTGAGATATTGTTTCATGTATCTTGGACTGGCCTTGAACTTCTGATCCTCCTGCCTCCACCCCTTAATCACTGGGATTACAGGGTATTAGGGATCGAACCCAGGGTCTCATGAATATGCTAGGCAAGCATTCTACCAACTGAACTACAACCCCAGTGCTGACTTTTCCTTTTTCATTATTTTACTTTGTTTCTTTCCCCAAGATTTGCTTTGCCTTATTTCATAGCTATAATCTATGAAATAAAGAGAAACAGTTCCTGGGTTACAAAGCAAGACCCTCTCTCAAAAGAAAACACACACATGAAAAACAAAAAAAGCATGTCAAGAAATACCTTCTGAGAGGGATCTTTTACAATCTTTAAAGCATTTCTTATGTGCACATACATGTGGAGGCCAGGGGTTAATTTGAGGATGTTCCTGTTTGCTCTTCCTCTTACTTTCTGAAACAGTGCCTTTCACTAAACCTGGAGTTCATCTATTCGGCTAGACTGGCTGACCATTAAGCCTCAGGATCCTCCTGTCTCTACTTCTCTATGACTGGGGTTACAGGTGCACACCTGGCTTTTTTTTTTTTTAAACGTGGATGCTGAGATCTAAACTCAAGTCTTCATGTTCGCATGGTAAGCACTTAACAACTGAGTTCTCTCTCCAGCCCCACTTAAAGCATTTCTTTATAAAATTGAATTTCATATGAATGAAAAGTCCTTAAGTCACTGGCTATATTGTCCCATGTCTAGCAATTATCAACAGTATGGAGTGATCATTAGCTAAATGCTTCCAAGTTTCCAAAATCTCAAAGTATTAAAGTAATACAGTAACTCCATCACAACAGAAAATTTCTCCAGGAAAGATACCTTTCTTTTCATTGGGGCAGAAGGGCACAAAGTATGGCAGAGAAATGAGCTTTACACTCTGTTAGTAAACCTGGCAGTTGCAATGGCCTTTGACCATAGACTCAACCATTACAGTCAATCTGACCTGAATTTCTTCTGATAAAACTGCTATCCGAGTAGGTATTTTGGCACTCTGACAAACTGAAAATTATTAAGGATTAAAGACAGCATTTTATCATGTGGAATCAATCAAGGACAGAGAGGCTATTCTAACAACTTTAGTGAACCAATCAGAAGCCTAGATGCCATTAAGCTACACTCTGCAAAAAGAGGTCTCTCACAACCAATTCTGAGACTCCAGGATTGGGACTGTTAAG